GCTCCGCGGCCCGCCCGGAGACACGCGCGGGCGGGGGGCGGCCCCGCCCCAGGCCCCGCCCTCCTGGTGGCCGTTGCTCGGAGCGGGCGCGAAGCGGGGCGGGCGTTGCGCTGCCCGCGAGGCTCTCGGCGGCCCGCAGCAGCACCCGCGCTCCTCGTTTTGTTAATTTTATTGTTGAATTCTTCTTAAATAAAGGTCTGCCAAACCCCCATGCTTATTCTGTGTCCTACCTGCGCCTCAGGCCTGGCCGGCCGCCTCATCGGGCGGGGACATCGGTGTGGCACAAGGAGCTGCCTGGGCACAGCCACAGAGCCCAAGAGCACTAGAGGAAAAAGGGAGAGCCTGGTGTGGGGATGAGTGTGGAATCAGTGTAGCGCTGCTATGAAGAATCCCCATTTTTTCAAAAAAACGTAATAATTACCCTTTTCCACACTTAGGAGCAGCAGCCCATGAGCGAGGGGTACGTGGACATTCCCCGTGAAGGAGCACGGTGGTTCTCAGGAGGCCCTTGGGAACCGGTCCCCCGTGTCGCCCGGCGCTGGCGGCGGCTCGGACGCCATCCTGCCCCTCGGGGCCTACGGCCCGCGCGCTGCAGCCGGAGGCAGCGGGAAGAGCCGAGCACCACGAGGAGCCGCAGGCAGAGCCGCCTGCAGCCAGAGCCGCCTGCCGCCAGGGCTGCGAGCCGCAGAAACGGGCAGGCAGCAGCAGCGCTGCGCTTGGAATAGCTCTGCCGTGGTTAAAAATAGGAGAAAAATAAACCCACAACCTGCTCTAGATATACGTTCAGTTCTTATATATCTTCAGCATTTAATATTTTATAGTCTTACATGGTTACAGACCAATTGGGGAAGAGATCTCTTCTGAAGGAGCTTTTCTGCACATGATTGATTTTCAGCCTCATTTGGATCTTCAGTGCACACTGGGACACTTTCTTGTGCATCAAGACCATTAAAAACAAATGAATATTTAATCTCATTACTCAATCCCAATAGCGAGTTCTTGTCTGGTAAGAAAGTTGCTTGGATTTTGTCTTAATTAACCCTCATTCACCTGAAAGGCTGAAAAAATATTTTTTCCATCTCCTAAATGGTAGCATTTAAGTTGATAGACACAATTTGTGGTCTGAATCTTACATACACTGGCACCATTGGGCTTCTTTCTTTCTGTGCAGTAAATACATTCATAGCCTTAAGAAAATCCTCTAATACTTCACTGTCTTTCTAAAAAAACACACTTCAGTGTTTATGTTTAAAGGAGTTAATGTCAGCAAAGGACATAAAAGGACATAGATTTCAGAATTTCAAAGGGTTCTGACAATAAAATAATCTTCAGTTCATCAATATATATTAACAGCGGTCATGGTTGGGCTACAAAAACCAGGACATCAAAGTATTTTTTTTTACCTTATTACATAAATTTCAATAGGATATAGTTTTACTATACTTTGATAGTTTTGTTATGGAGGATTTTAAAGCAGATAAGCTATTTTACTACTCTTATTTTAAAACGAAGAAATCAGAAGTGTTTTTACTGCAATTAAACAACAAAAAAAAAAGGATGCAAATGACACGTGTAGGTCTTTGTCCTATTATCTTTTGTTCTCCTGAGTCATAAAATAGAAAACACGATGATGAACCACTCACACCGTCACCATGGCAGGTAAATGGAAAACTACATACAAAAGGGAATTAATCAAAAATAACGCTAGTGAATCACTGCTGTGACTAAGAGAAGTAAATACTGATTGATAGTCTAGTAATCTCAGTTTCTCTACTACCATGACAATGATTCATTAGTGGGACTGATGCCTAAGATCTGGTTAATAGCCCAGGCCCTGGCATATCCCTGTCCTGGTGGGAGCGGCTCCCGCTCCCACCAAGAAARCCTGCCACAAGGGGAAGATGTACAGCAAGAAACATTTTTCCGAATTTCCTTGACTAAAATAACAGTTTACAAGTGATTTCTTTTGGAGATCTCTCCTGATGAGCAAATCAGCATAGTAAGAAGAGCAACACCAGTGGAGGTGGCAAGTGCACATTTAACTGCAACTGTGCCTATGCGTGTGAATGAAGTGGTAAACACCGGTCTGAGTCACCACCCCTCAAATGTCATCCCTCCCTCTCCGGTTGCAGCATGAGGGGGCGCAGAGCTGCCGGAGCAGAAACCTGGAGGTGCTGAGCTCCCCTCAGCTGCTGTCACTGCAGATGAACTCACCATGAGCACCRGTGCCTGCAGGCAGCCGGGGTACGGCTGCGAAACACTCAGCCCTTCACCACGTAACAGAACCAAGATCTTCTGGGCATGATGTATTTGGTCTTTTTTTTTTCTTTAAATACCTTCAGATTATCATTCTGCATATGCACATAAACCAGTATGCTCTAYGTGCTCTTTGCTAATGCCTAAAACATTGATAAAATCAGAGAAACCTTTTGTTCTCACTTAGGACAGGAATGAGGGCAGCATCTGCACTCCTGTTTTGATGGGTCTCTCTCATGCCAGGTATTTAGTGAATCCCCTTCCCTTGGTGTTACTCCCTGTATTCCACCAGGAAAGTAGAATAATAATTATTTGCCATTTTAAGTTGAATTCCCTCTCATTTCAGTTTTTCTAAATAAAATACAAAAGAAAAGTAGGTTTTCAATGTGCTGTCCTTGGTCTGCTGACTGATTTGATCTTGAAATGTTGCCACTAAGCAATAGCTCTTAGTAAGGTCAAATAGATCAGGCACAGCGGGACGCCACCCCGGAAGTGTCCCCTGGGCTGTGGAAGGGCCAGTATTCCCATGTACTAAGGAGCTACGTTTTTGCTAAAACATATTTATATTAAAAAATGCTACCTCTATGATGTCTTACAGGCTTTACAGGCCTTAAAAATGAATTTATTTAATTTCTGCACTACTATGAAAATATTTCTACCAAGAGCAGCTACTTTTAGGATAGGTAGATTAAAATGGTTCTTCTCTCAAGCTACTAAGTCTCATTTCCATTTTTGGGCCCATTTTTCAGGCACAATTTTAAAGTCTAGTTCAACAACACCTCAGGTGTGCTCCAGGTCAGTAGCATATTGCTAAGCAAGAACACTGAGGCAGCTACTTGAGATCCATCAAAAATTTGTTTCTAATTGGCGTCATCTGATTATGTAGAGTGAAGAGACAAAATTTCAGTGCAACACAGCTTATCATAATTCACGGGGAAGCAGCAGTCCATTAAAATGAAAATAGAGGAGAGATGAGGCACAGGGACAAAAATGGAACTTTTTCATGATTGCAGAGCCGGGGCATTGCCAGATATAGCAAACGGGTGGGTGGGACTGGGAGAACAGGCTCAGGAAGAGCCACAACAGGGCAGCTGGGAGCAGATACGCACGGGCTGCGAGCGCTTCTTGCGTCACCAGCACCATCTCTTGCATATTCAAAACACAGAACAGAAATATTAGAATACATCAAGAATTATAACTGTACTGTATATCAATGTAGTCTTCTAGTTTAGGTACTTAAGCAATACAATCTGGAAAAATGCAACTGCAGTCTCTCAAGCACTAGTTGTTTTTTAAGCAAACCTCTCCCACCCTCAGTTTGCTTTTGTCTTGTGTTAATTCATCTAGCTATACTCAGGTTACATTAAACAAATTGAGCAGGGAATGCAAGAGAGATTAATAGATTTATAATAGCCGAGGAACACTGTTATAGGTGATATGTGAAGGCTATTCCCTCCACCATGACATTAAAACACATCCATCTTTCCGATGCTCCTTCCCCTCCTTTTGTGTGTCTCCCTGATGATTCTCAATCTTCTCCTCTGTTGACTAGTCCAAGTGATTTTGTGGTGACACAAAATCTGCCACCTGCCAGCTCAGCTCAGGTCCACAGCAGTCTGGGATGGAGTCTGACAACCAGTGCTGTCTTTCTTGGCACACAAAACTTGCTGTCTGTCCCCGCTCCCGTTTTCTCATAGTTGGTGCCCACTCTGTGGCCATCCTCTTCAACTGTGTTTAAGCAGACTGCTGGGAATGCTGCTATAGTACAATTTCACAGTGCAATAAGAAAACTTCATAGAAAACTTTCTGTTCATATGGCGACAAGAAAAGCTGGACCACAACAGTACGTTGTGGCAGTGYTTTACCAGTCTGTGAAAGAGCAAAAGCAGCCAAGCACTGCCACGGTGGAYGGTGACCCCAGTAATGTGGCCCTGTGTGCCACGATGGTGAAAGCAGCCATGGACCAAGCTCCAGCTAACCATCGCCACTGGGATGTCTGTGCCAAGCAAGCTGGCCACGACCACAGTGCCAGCCAGGGCAGCTCGCTACGGCGTGCCAGGGTACAGCCCGGCCCAAAGTACTGTTTCAATGTCTGACACCAGATTTTGTTCATCAGGAAGTTCTAACAGTTTTTGCACCCAAATTTAGAGGTATCATCACACAGGTACTGTACTTACCACTTGAAAGGGAGAGCAGCAGAACTGGAATATAAGAGACCAAGTGAATAATCAGAAGCCTGTAACCACCAACTTGTCTCAAGAGAAGTCTGCTCTTAGACACAAACTGAGCTAGGCCTCCAGCCTAGGCAGACTGAGTTTTACACTGAAATTCAAGCACAGAACTGGGCTCAGCAAGTGCTGCACGTCAGCCCAGCCAGGCAGCTATGGCCTATCTTCACACAAATCAGGAAGCACGCTCAACTTTAAAGCACATTCTCCATATAAATAAAAATCTCCAAGGTCCTTTTAATATAAAATGTTTTTATTGTTTTTGAAAACATTTAAAAAACAATTTTTGAGCACTTTCAATAAAAAAAATAACTGAAATGCTACTGCAATATTCAACTACTGTAGTTTCAGCAGTACAACAGACAACAAAACACTGGGGAGGAAGGGAGAAATTGGATTTCCTGCACTAAATGAAAACGTAGAACAGGGATTTTTCTTTCCTTATGGTGCAGTAAAGAAAGCACAGTATAGTACAAGACTATTATATGAACTTCAAATGCACTGCACAAAAAAATGCTTTCCTTTTCAGTTCAGAAGTCAGTGCTTATTGCAATTATTTGCAAATTATTTACTTCATGAATTCTTATCATGATAAAATGATGCAAAAATGCTTTTCAACACCAGAACAATAAAAAATAATCCAAGAAAAGAACATATTCAACAATAACTAAGCTGAATTAGTTAATATAAAAAAGTAAATAACTTGTGAATAACTATRCTCACCTGGTTAACACCGAACCAGTTTCAATACAGCAAAAGAATAAAAAAAAAAAAAAATAAAAGTGGTTACAGGAATATATCTAGTACTGTACAAGATAAGTCATTAACACTCATGCACGTCTTGTGATCATGTATTAACATGGTGAAGCAAACTAAACTTAATTCTTCCTGCTGTAATATTCTCATGTAAGAGAATAAGAAATAGAAGTATCTCATTGAGATCAACGCACATTGCTACATAAGACAATTTCACCTGTCACTTTTAATGACATTTTGCCTTTTAATAATGAAACACATTAAAAAGTCTTTTTTTTYYTTTTTTTTTTCTTTTTTTTTAATCTGTGGGCTGTATTTGTTGCATTTATCCTAAGGAATGTGCCTACCACAGGTTCAACAGAATTTTAGTGCAATATATGAACCCAGAAAGTTTGCTGGACTAACCAACCCAATTTAAAGTGTTTGCTGCAATACTGGACATAGGGTACAAATTCACGAGTTTGTATACTTTAGCAAAAACTGCTATCAAAATAATTTAATTCTTATGTTAGTAGGAAGCCAATAATGTAAACAAGGGGTCAGAACTGTCTCAAATTCTTCGTTTTGGAGTATCTGACACAGACAGGCTTCCATTTGCTAGAATCACAGGATTTTCCTTTGGGTATTGCATACTTTGGTGTGCAATAGTGCTTTGTCTTGATGTACAGTAAAGAACTAACTAGCACTAAGAACAGGGACCTAACAGATTATAACACCAACACACAAACACCTCTAAAATAATACATATTAATGTACAAAGTTGTCTGAACTAGCCCTAGCACCATTTATTGAAGTGAAAATGTTTCATCGCTGTGCCTGGGATTTTACTCGAAACAATCCTTATTGAATTCAACCTCTTTTAAATTAGAAATAAATTTGCTTTAATCCACTGATTATAGATTATTCCTGCTAATTAAATCTCGTGTTAGGTCCAACGCAAGGCTTGGTATTTAAATATAATTTTAAACGCACTTCTAAAAACCTTTGGTGACAACTGCATAATTTAGAACGCATCAACTTCTAATCCGACTCCTGCCTTGCTAAGAAACGTCCCTAGAAGAGCCGAGGAGTTGGGGCTGCGAGGCTGTCACCAAGCGTGCGGCCGCGCTGCTGCCAGCGACGCGCAGGCCCCGACGGCCACCATGCGGGCACACGGACAGCCCCGGCCATCGCTCCCTCTTTCCCTCATCCATCTCYGCCACGAGGCCGGTTTCGCGAATTCCCGGTCGTGCTGACGCTTTGTCTAGGGGAGCAAATGACGGGCTGCCCTCGGGCCCACTAAGTGCAAGAGAAAGGGGGATGCTCAACACATCACTAGCTACAGGCTGTCAACAGGCACAGAGCTCAGGCCTAGTCTCCTCATTTCCCTAACCAAACACGGGAGCACTTGATCTTGCACAGAGATCCGAGCTCTAGGCCTGCGCCTAGTGCAAGCGCCAAGATCCTGGTGTGAAGCACAGGGCAACAAAGCCCCAGGGCAAGGTGCTAGCGTGGGGCAGGTGTTTGTGGCCGCAGGAGAGGCCGCAGGCCGGGACGTGCGAGACGCAAGAGGAGCCGCGCACCATGAGCAGCTGAAGTGCCAAGGCAGCAGCACAGCGTGGATCAGCACCAGCGAAACACAACAAAACCCAACCAGTACCGACACCTCTAGTCACTAGGAGAAACACAAGATCACCAAGACACTTAAATGAACCTCTCCAGTCGGCTACAAATCTGATTCTCTCTTCCTTCACTAAATGTAAGGGGTCTACCCCTCCATGAGTGCATGACCTCTCCTCCAAAGCAGCAACACGGACAGGGAAACGTTTTCTGCTCTGCTTTCAGTTGCATAAGCATCAAGTTTACAGGAGCAAGTCCATTTTATGTTGAGTTTAAGGGATGGCACCGGAAGCATCCTCAGTACTTCTTAGTGTAAAAGCTTGCCTGTGCAAGGCCTCTTCACAGCATGAGGGCCATGGCTGGTTAAGAACCTCTCTCTCCATCATGAGAGATACATGCCATGCTGGCAAACCAAAGAGATTTTTCTCGTTTTTTTTGGTTTCATTGAGCTAGCAAGCTAGAAGTCTAAATCCCTTTTTTTTTTTAAGGATGGGGGAGCTAAGGACTTCTAATAATAATTAGATCCATTGATCCTATCAAATCACTTATGAAAATGAAATTCAGGCTCCCAAAACAAAATGAACTTTTAAAAGATGTTTTTAAACCAAAAAAGGGCTCACATGTCTTACTGTGTATCTGTAAAGTGCCKGGCAGCATTATGGCTCTATACAAAACATTTTTAGATCAACCACATACATATTCTAATATTTTAATCACCTTTTCTTTGAGAGAAGGAATGAGTGAAACAGGGCTCAACCTACTAAAACACACAGAGAAAAGAACATCTTCCTACACCCTCCACTACCTTAGAAAACAGTAGACTTAAATGAATCTTTAAAAATACYATTTTATTGAGCTCCAAGAGCTCTTTTATTTAAAAAAGAGGGAAAATATCATGCTCCTTCTCTATCTTCGATAAATAATTAAAATAGGGTGTTAGGTGTAGATTAAATTTCAGTGCTCAAAATCTTTTCCCATGAATTTTACCTAATATATTGACATGGAAATGAGAACTAAAATATCAAGTGTGATGTCCTGGACATTAATGGATAAAACAACTACGCAGATTTGCTTCTCTTAAGTAAGAMATTTAGTGCATCTTTCTTCTTTTTCGTGATCACTGTTCCTGTTAATTTTTCCTATCTCTGTGCTTTGCTAGAGAAGTATACGGTGCTGGTACTGCAGAGACTTCCCAGTTCACCACGGYGCCGTACCCAAGATCACTACACGGTCGCAGTTCACTTGCACCCATTCCCCATCAGCTGCCCTGCTGCAAGCACCCTGCATTTCAGACCTGAATGCCAAAGGTCAGTAAGAATTTCCTACCAAGAACTAACAAGCAACACAAAATATGGAAAGCCTCGTAACGAGCTGGACTTGCAACCTTCCCAAAGCCTCAGCTGTCGATGCCAGCTGGCTGTTAAACCACTCCGTTATTTGCTACAATAAGAAATGTTGCATGGGAACACTATAAAATTCTAATGTTAATACTGGCTCTTTGATAGCCCATCATCTTCAGAGATCTATTTAAAATTGGTAAGACTGCCTTTTCCCTGCTGAAGAATGAGCAACTGGTACAGCAAACTTTTTTTTTTTAAATGCCACAATACATAGCAAGTGTTTCTGCTGCAGGAGGCACTTCCATTAAGACAAATACAATACGTCTGTCTTTTAGATACAGTGTGCTACATACATACTATAAAACAAAATTAACCCAACATTTCAACAGCAGGATGATCCTTACTCTCCATCCACTCAAAACCGGATGCAGTCATTGAGTTAATGGATTCATTGCAGATTTGTTGAAACAAGGGGTCATTTTTTAATTCCTCCAGTGTAGCATCATCGTCTTGTCCCTGCTGACGACCTGGATCAAACAGTAGATTTGTATCTAAAGTGTTCAGATCATTAATGCTGCCTGAGAGGTCGGAAGACAACCTGATGTCGCTGGAAAAGACAGATGCAACGTTATTGAGATCTGATGCCACCTGATTCACCAGCTGCTGGTTGGTTGGCAGACTGTCCTCCCCTAAAAGGTCTTTTACAGTGCTGCTGAAATCTAGCTGCTGCTCTCCGATGTCTGATTGTGCTTGGTTATCTCCAGAAGAAAAACTGATCTGATCGGCGCTGCTGTTTTTCGTGAGGTAATTTGGTGTTTGGAATTCATAAACCGAAGTGCTGGAATTGATCATATTTTGTGGGTTGGCACTAGGAAAAGCAGTGGATGTTTCTAAAATCTGAGTGAGATTCATCCTGGCTGTGTAATTTGAGGGCATGTTATTCATTCCCAAACCTCTCACCGCATCATCGCTATCAGAATCAAGTTTGTTTAACAACACATTGGTTATTTTCTTAGTGTTTGTTTGTTTCTGAAGAGACGGAAAGGCCGTCTGCATCATCACAGTCAATGGGACTGACTGGCTTCTTTGAGCTAAGTTATTGGCACTGGTGTCTGCAGGGATGTTAGTAAATACATTGTGAACTTCAGGAGTCACCGGACTTCCAAACTGTGTCAAGTTGGAGCGCGGTATATTTGAAACGGGGTAGACGGTGCTGCCACTGAGGTTACGCTGGCGATGGACAGCGGGGCTCACGCTGCGGCACCTCAGGCTATTGTTGAGAGAGGATCCGGCTCCTTTGTTGTCCAGAGGAGCAGGAACAGCAAAGCCCTCTTGCTTGGCGCTGCTACTGACAGGGGCTGCCTGGTGTGGCACGGGCGACACCGGAGTCACACGACCAAAATGAGTGTCATGGTGCCGCGGCTGAGACTGGTAGGACTGGCCAGGAACTGCAAAAGCGTGGGGTTTCCTGAAACGGTCTTCCACGAGCTCCTGATAGCTGGTGAGAATGCCATGGTTTGCAACCGATGAGTTACTGACGCCGCTGTACCCATTGTTCATCCACTCCAGCTTGGTCTTGTCGGGGTGCGTGGCCATAGGCCGCTGCATGGGCTTCACGGGGCTGCTCGAGATGATGCTGGCGTCGTGGTAGGCCATGCTGGAGCTGATGGGGGTGAAGGCAAAGGGGTTGCGGCACTCCACGGGGCTTGGGGGGACGCTGCTGCTGCAGTTGGAGTGCGGCGTGCCGATGGGCGTGTGGCGGCTGCTTCCCAGCGCGCTGTCCACGGGAGTTGTCTGCGCCAGCCGGGAGCAAGGGCTCTCCCGCGACACGTTCTGCGAGCCGGCGATCATCTCGGATGTGGGGGTGGGCGTTGGGGTGGGCGTGGGCGTAGGTGTTGGGGTGGGCGTGGGGGTGTGAATYGGAGTGCTGTTGTTGTGGATCGAATGGTAGAAGTGCGCGCTGCCCGCGTGAGATGACACGGGAGCTCCCGGCGCTGCCGGCTGGGCCTGAAGGGCCATTCCTAGACAGCCACTGTAAGGGTGAGAATTACTCATCGACATCTGCTCTTCCATTAGCACCAGCTCCTCCACGATGCTGTCCTGGGTCAGGTCATCGTCAAACGAAAAGAAGTTCTCATTCGACTGAGGGACCCCGTGTTCAAACTCCTTCAGCTCGGACTGCAGAGGTAACTCATTTGAAGACTGAGCTGGGATTTGCCCCAGGGAGGAGTCCTGGATCTGGCTCTGGAGCTGCTGGCCGTAGGCGTCCGCCTGCATCCCTTCACAGTGCACCGGCTCCCAGGTGGACTCYGCTAAGTCGCCAGAGCCCGGATGGGCTGCGATAGCCATAACACTGAGATCTTGCTGCTGTTCACAATTCACAGATGCAAAATCAGAAGTTTTGGTGATATGGTGCCATGGATTTGGGTTAAAGCTGCCATCCGATTTTGAATCATCTTCTATGATAAACATGTTTCCTTCCAATTTTACTTTTATATCTGGAGATGCTGCTGCTGCTGCGAGCTGCTGTTCTAAAGTAGCATCACTGGTATTTACACTGGTATTCAAAGAACAGTCTGTCACTAAGTTTGCTGAAGCCACAGAATTTACGTCACTGGGAACTTGAGCAAGTGTTGCAGTATTGTCACTGTTCACCAAGGAAACAACCTGTGGAGCTTTCTTAACACTGTTGGCTTTTTGACCCTCTACAGCATTAGCAGCCGAAAGCTGCCCCACCAGTGGTTTCTTTACAGGTGGTACCTGGGAATCCTGAAGCGTAGCAGGTTGTCGCTTTCTTGGACTTTTAGTGCACGTTTTGTCTTTATTTGCAGAGTCACCAGTGGGTGGTGAACTGATGCTGGTGCTGGACAAGTCTTGACTGGCAATTGACAGCGTTACAGTGCTTTGATTATTGCCTGCTGAAGAAACTGGTGTGATCTCATTAGACTGTGGTTTGTATTTGGTCCTTGCTTCTTCAGCTCCCTGATCACAGCCCTTAGCTGTTTTTGCCTCCACAACACCATCAGCTGAAACTTTCAAGGTTGCAACCTCAAAATTGATTTGTTGAGCAGCAGGCAGGCCAGGGGCTCCCTTCACAGATTTAGATGCCTCAGAGCTCTCTTGGCCCTGCACTGGGTTCTCATCCAGCAACACTTCTGGTTCCAGTTTGATCTCGACTGCAGATGTAGCTACCACAGTGCTAGGCTTGGAACCTGGGGACTGAAGTGAAACAACAGACCCATTTTTGATCTGAGGAGCAGTCCTCGCTTCTTCTGCTGCTCCTGTGCTGCTGTTAACAGAGGGCGTCTGTTTGACGGGCACACTACTGCTGCTTGGAGCTAGAGATATTGCTGTCATTTTTACCACGTTTAAGGAATTCACATGTTGAGCTGGCACAACAGTCTTGATTGGGCTACTGGTGAACAGCACCGTGGTGGGAGAGCGGATGGTGAGAGCACTGGTGTTTGCTGGCTTCGGGAGGATCTGCGGGTAGCGATGTCGGGCAGAGCGGTCGCCAACTGGACTGGCTGGGACGTTCTGCGGAGTCTTTGGTGACTGTTTGACTGACTGCATGTGCTGAGTGACCACCTGAACATTGAGAGGCAGTACCTTGCTGTCAGATGATCCTATGGGACTTGGAGATGTCACCAACTGCCTGGTCCTTGGCACCTGTTTAGAGAGAAAAAGAAAARGAATGTTGATGAAGTCCCCACAGGCCACAGTTGTATTCCAAAGTGCTTCAAAGGTGAGGGCCAACACAGACGAATATACCAAGCTACTGAACATCAGCTCATATCAAAATAAGCCCTTCAACTTACGTACGCACAATTGTGTATTTGGCTGCCTCAGCTTTTAAGGCAGTGGTCTATACACAACCCTGCTCTTCTGCAGGACCTTAAAGAAAAGGTCACTCACATGTAGTCCTTCAGCATGTGAAAGAAAATGACATAAAAAGGATAAAGAGGAGAGGATGTATTCAAAATGCTGATGATTTTAAAGATGTCTAAAATGATTTAAAAGCAAAACCCCTATCAGTCAGAAAAACAGGCGTACCACTAAAAACAACAACACAGTTAACACTTTGAAAAGAGTTAACATCTTCCCGTACTGCCTCACTTCTGTAGGGTTGAAAGACAAGGATAGTCTTTGAAAGATAAGGATATTACAGACATCTGTACAAAAACRAAACTGTTGATGTCACTAAATCCACGAGAACAATGAAAGTCAATTTAGATCCCATATTAGGGGCTCAGTGACCTACACGGCTTGTGCTGGCTTTCCTCTCTGGTTGAACTTCATCGCAAGGGTAATTATTCCAATATATAAACCAAATTACTGACAGCTTAAATCCCACTGTCACTGACCTCAAAGGCGAACTTGGCTTATTCTACATAATTACAATTCTAGCGATGCCATCACCAACTGGATTGTACTGGTCACAACAAAGCCACTGGGACAGAAGAGCGTCAGTGCACACAAGTCCTTGATGACTGAAGGAAATCATTTTTCTCTCCCACTGACATCACTGCCGAGTTACTGGCAGTTTACAATCCACCCTTTCAGGGGCTGTTTTTGCTAGGGAATCACTGCAGAACGTTACCGGTATCGGGCTGGGGACAGCTGCCACAACGATGCCAATAGGCTGAGGGGACAGGATAGCAGGGCTTCCATTGGAGATAGTGGCCACGCCGTTGGTCGCGGTGCCTTCTGTTTTCTTTGCTGGAGACTCCCCTGGCAAAGGAGACTGCAGCTTCTGCTCCTGCTGCTTCTTCTGGATCTTACGCTGCAGCTGCTGCTTGGCGTCGACGGGAGATGACAGAGTTTTCACTTGTGGTTGAAAGGAATTACTTTCAGCAGTAGGTACAAAAGCTGAGGGCTGGGGGATCCCTTTTATTCCTGAACACAAACACACACACACACAAAACAGTATTATAACAACACATATCAGGTCTGTTGTGCCATTTCTGCATGAAACCTCACAAAATATATGGTAGGACCTCCAGAGCCACTCTAAGACTGCCTCATCCATGAAGAGATTTCATACTCATATCTGTCCACTGCTTTAGTTTATTTACAACATTCTGGCAAAATCTCTACTGGGGCATTAGGAGCTAAACATTGTGTTTTGGCATCTTGTGTCTAGTAATCCTAAACTACATCTTTTGTTCCATCAAAAYCTAAAAACAATGCATTTCATTAAACTGACAATAGAGGGCAGTGGCTATGAAACTTTAAAATTCATTTCTATCATGTTTTTGTTTTATTATCAATATTTAAAGCACTTTTAAAATGAAAAATCTTGGCAGAAAGCTGCAAATCTGTGCCATAGATGTGCAGTTCTGTGCAGATGATATTAGCTCATGATCAGTGTGTTAAATATAACACATATAATTATGTCAGAATGGATCATCACCAGTATGTGATCAGGGATAATGCTGAAAGGGCGATAAATGAAACAAGAGAAGAAAGAGAAGCAGGGGAAGGCAAAAAACAACGCAGAAATTATGATGAAAAAACATTTTTTTTCTGAAGACAATGCCCTGGCTGGTCACGCACAAGCAAAGGTGCTGCCAGGAAGGGCAAGAAGACTTGGTCTCATCAGTACAGCTGGCACCAATCTCGGTTACTAAGTCACAACTGTGATCTTTCATTTACTACCACTCAAGAGGATTAGTACATTCCCTCCATGAACACCCAGCCCTGTGAAACTGCCCTGTCAGGAAGTTTTAACACTGTTTATTTCATACTTTATAGGTTTCTCAGTTTTTAAGACAACTCTTAACTGCAAATTAATCAACATCATCCTCTCAGCAGCTGCCTGCATGTACCATGACAGCTCTAATACTGCAGCTTATCTCCAYTTTCTGCTTTCAATTCCCTTTTCAAAGAAACGGTGAAGTACCCAAGCACATTTCAGGACCCACAAAACAACAATAGCGCTATGTGGGCCAAATACTGAAGGTAAATAATATTGATGAGGATGCCCTACCCCCTCTTCTTACCCTACTTGAGGGTAAAACTTACTTCCTTAGAGAAAAAAGACTTTCTTACAGAAAAAGCACGCACAGGCACACTGTATTTCTTGTGAGAAAAGGCAATGGGGGTATTTTATTTGCTCGTGTAGTACCTACCAAGGAGAGAACCTCTCTTGAGCATTCCAGCCCCAGAGGCACACAAGAAAAATAACTGCCCGTTTCCCTGAAACACCACGTTTTCGCAGAGGAAGCAGGACACASAGGAGGCTCCACGAGCCAGAGCTATACACACGTGCCCCCTTCCTTGCAGCAGCATGGCCAGCAGAGCCAACGGAGCCAGGCAATGACATGGAAAGAGAGGAGCACAGGGCCTTGCACTACCCAAGTTTTAAATTGTAACAGAGAAAAGGCAGCTAGAAGGAGAACGAACAGAGACCAGGGAAGGGGATCGCCAGAACTCACAGCCCTGACAATCTGCTTCCATTTGAAACTACCCTTTTTGAAGGCAAGAGATTTGCTTTGGTTCAAACACATTTCCCGCAGCAGATGTGGGGGGGAACCTCCCAGGGGGACTGCAGGGGAACCCATACTTCCCCCTGCAGCCTTCACCTACAACCAGAGAAACTTCAGATGCTTCAGTGACTCAGAGAATGGAGAGACACAGAATACAAACATAGATGTACAAACAGTTACATCAAATAACCTTTTCCAGAGACTGAGGACTGAAGGAATTCATCTGGCTGAGTAAAACAAAACCCAGCTCTTCTCTTCACCTTAACAAAGGCGTGAAGGCAGGCAGGAATCCCAGTCACACCAGTGCCTCAGACAAGGCTCTCCTGTCCCTCTCAATGCCCTCAGACCCTTATTTTTACCATGGTCAATAACAACAACACTGACCTAGTTGTAATACCTGACACAGATCAAACATCTCGGGAAAATTTGCATGTGACATATCAAAAACGCCTGTAAGAAAATCTGCTCTTGAGAGAAAATTAAGACAGACAATTGTTTCCATATTAGGGCAAGTTACCAGACGGAAACGCAGCTCTACCAGCGTACGCCTACAAACTCCCACGCTACTGGCACCAAAATCCACATTTAGCAAAGTGCCTGAAATTCAGTGCCGTTACTCACACGCTCAAAGTTAATCCCGCCTGGAAGTGCTTTATGAGATGGATATCGCCGCTGGTGGGATCACAGGACAGCAGGGACTCGGTGGGGAAGGACAGGTAACCTTCCCTGCAAGCCACAGGCGCAGGCCCTGCGGCTGCCTGCTCGGAGCTGCCCACCCGGCCTTGGCTCCGCGTGCRCCGATCCGATCCGATGCGCGCGGCTGGCGCTGACCGCAGAGCCACGATGCCCTCCCTGTGCCCGGCCACGGGTCAGCTCCTCTCCTTCCTCACACACCAGTGAGAAAAGCCGCTCGTGCGACAGCCCTCTCCATGATGCCATTAAGAGCTTCCTTGGCTTCCTCGCTCCCATTTCYCTGTTGTTAAGGTTGATGCTGAATTCTATGAATTTCTGGAGAAGTGATCAGGTCTCCAAAGTCCTCTCACTGATCACTCCCCCAGATAACCCGCAGCTCACACTGGCTGTGATCAGGGAGCCACTTCAAGGCCCACTGAGAATTCCCTCTCCCTCTTTCCTTTCCCCTTCTCCTCCCTAAAGTAGCAGGTACCTCTCAACATGCAGCTATGTTTTGCTAGACATTCCTACCTCTAGTCCTTCCTAAATGAACAGCAACGTTACAAATCTAAACCGCAGCAACCAACTGTCAAACAGATGACAGTAACATAGAAAGCTATCTTCAGAGCCTGAAAGGCTAACGTCACAGACTAGACCTTAGACCACAGCATATTTTCAGCTCCTGCTTCTAGACTATCACAGAGAAAAGTAAATTGCAGCAGCTTGAACTAAAAAAATCACTTAAATGCATGTTCAAGGGTCAAATTCAGTCAGCATTTAAAGTCTGTCCTGAAAGGAGGTGCTTACTCAAACTGATATATTACTCATGTCACTAGGAGCAACTGAACTATCACCCTTTATTTCATCTAGCACTCATGGGAAAGGACTGAAACGTCACTGCCTGMAGTGGGATACACTGCCACACAGGGCAGGGACAAACATGCCAGCAGTCCCGAACCCTCCCGGGCTGCCCACTCACTTCGCTCCTCCCTTTTGCTGACATCCTCATACCTGACGTTAAAAACGATCCCTCTTACATAAAATGCACTCCTCTTTTTAAAGATTCCCCCTTCCATAGATTCAGAATTAAGTTAATCCATTACCTGCTGGTGCCCCTGCCATTACTGTTAAAGCTGCCATTGACTTGGTACCGATATAGTGACTTTTGACGAGGAACCGAGCCAGTTCCAAGACGGTATCAAAAGGCTGGCTGAGCACTTTCTGGGCCCATTCACAAACAAGGCGGCAGGCCGCGGAGACAACCTCCTCATCAGCGCTCTGCAGCTGCCCAGATGGCTCTGTCCCATCCAACTAAACAAAGAAAAAGGAAAGATTATTTATATTAAAAATTACTAACAAGTGAAAACAACAAGAATACAGAACGAACGATGATAAAAATGACACAAAGCACTAAGTCCATACATTCTTTTTTCATGAAATTGGGAGAAAAAGATCACAACATCACTGATTCAAAAATCAAATGATTTAACCTTATACTGCCTGTTTCCAAGAGCATTATATGAAGCTAACATTTCTGGAAGAAAACTGCAAAGAGAATCCTATCATTCAGACCACCTACAGTTGATGCCTTCTGCATCCTAGTCAACTTACCAGGCACTCTTATCCAAGAACTGCTTCTATCATTGGGGTTCCAACAGTGATATTTTTAAAAAYATATACAGCAAAAAATAAAGCAGGGAATGAGAGTTTAAAAGAAACTCGTGGGTAGCAGCACTGTGAAAATCTGCTTCCTCCTTTTTATTTTTCTTTTTCTTCCATGAAAAGCACTGTAATTTGATCAGAGCTTTAAATAAAAAAAAAAAAAGATCAACCAAGGTTTGTTTTAGAATATGAGAGTATTGTAAAGAAAAATCTTATTAAAAGCTACAGAGCTCGTCATTCTGTTTTGGAAACTTCAGACAGACAGTAAAAATAACCTAGGAAATGTAAATTTGATAAATAAATAAATAATACCATACCCCATCTCCAGTTTTATGAAAGTCAAGGTTGGGCAGTGTTGGCATATGCACAAAAGCCTTCTTTCTCAGTCCACTGTAGCAATATGTGATCAAAAATTAAGGTCTAAATGGTCTCAGCTTGTTCATGTAGGGAGAAATAAAAAGGCTTTAACTTCACCTCCACCCACCATGAACTTGATGAAAATGTAGCATGAGATGAAAACTGCATCATTTTCAAAAGTGAATCAATCTATAAAAAATTTGTGCCCAATTTCTAGCCTGTATTTAATTTTTACTTCCAGTGTTAGTTCTTATTTTGCCTCTGTTTGCTAAATTTTATGAATAAGTAACTGACATTTCCCTCTCATAAAGCACTTGAACAAACTGCAGAAGTCGCCTCACAATGAGATAAAAGTGGATGAACTTCTCTCAGAGGACGGCATTTTTTTCCCTACAATTTCATACAATTTTTGTGGACCTCTCCATCTATGACGATTCTTTAAAAACATGGACACAAAAGGACAGATTTGCTCTCATGTCACTCTCATCAACACTGTACTTCCCATTTTACTGTCTTGTTGACACACATAAGAGTCAAATTAGCTCTTTTTTTTTCTCCATCCTTAGCATTTCTTTGGAAATTCATATCCTACCTGTTCTCCATGACCCTCAAATCCTTTCCAAAATTACTAGTTTTTCCCTGTAAACTCAGTCTTTATTTCTCTTTATTATACAGTGGATCTTGCATTTGCTTACCATATACATTTGCATATGGATGGAGTATAATTACAGTGGCTTAAATATCTTAACACCCAGCCCCTTGGGAGTGCAAAGTAAGGTCACATTTTAATCATCCTGAATTAGACACTGAGGGAACAAAACTGAAAGAGACACCCTGGGCCAAACTATAATTACACTATGATTTCTTCCTTCCTTATGACTACGCTACAATTTCTCCAGGCAAGTGCAGAAGAAGTGACTGGGAAGTGTTCAAGCAAAGGATATTTTGATTTGCCTCTTGTGCCTAGACGGCGAGCCTTCATATTTGGAAAGACATTTTTCATGATCTTTCCAAAGTCAGCAGCACTTAATGGGTGGTAGCCAAGATTGTCACAATAGCTCCTGCAACAAAGACAGAGAAAATGTGAATGGAAGCAGGGTTAGCACAAAGGCCAGCCTACACGCTAGGCTCCATCAAAGGGTTTTTAGAAGAAAACACTCATACCCATCCATATTTAGAACTACATTTACCATTAATGAAACTATCCACAACAAATCAAATACATTAAAAACGTATAAACAGAGCTATTAATACCAAGGTTTTTCCCTTGGTCTCTTTGGAGTTCAAAGGCAAGTCAYGGGGAGATTTAACAAGAAGGGGCATTATTCACAGCACACTGAGATTTACTCCACAGTGTAGTTTGAAGCTTACATTTCARCTCCTTTATTTCAGAACACAAGAAAGCAGCAACAGACAGCAGCGTGATCTGTGTGGGGCAGGGCCTGGCATCCTGCATGGCTGTTCGAACAGCAATAGGTAAGAGATTTGCCTGCAAGTGCAGACAGATATATGGCCTAGACAACGTCAGCRTGGTAAAGCACGGCCTCCCAGGGCACCATCTTTGCCTTTGCAAGGTGCAACACAAACAGGCAGCAAAACCCTAGTCCTCTTACCAGGCCACAGGCAACTGTTTGCCCATATTGAACTAGGCAACTTTAATTAAGCAGATGCCAACCTGATACAGATACCCTTAGAGTCAGTTCTAAATTAGCAGCGAGCGATTTGGCGGGGGCGGCTGCAAACATAAACCTGCTAATCTCTGCACTCCTGAGGATCCTTCCTGAGAACACAGCACAGAAAAAAACAACCAAAAGTGTGTATTTTACCAGGGTCCTGCTCGAGTGAAGCAGGMACAGGTACCTGTCTTCAGCTCTCAATAGCAGCAGAAGGAATGTTGTTTCAACATCTCTCATGTTTAAAAAATGCCTCCTTGAGGCAGACAGCAAGAATTGCTAATTTCACTGCAAAATGCGAATGTTCTGGAAAATTACAATCAGGTGAAAGCACAAGAGAAAAATGGAAGCTGCYCAGGAAGCCTTACCCACGTATCAAGTGCTCAAGGCTGCATAGAGATACGAACCCTATTACACGTTGCCTTTTGTTCAAGACCCTGTGGTATTTAACAGATGCTAATGAAGTGCACTCCAAAACAGGCCCCTAAAGCCTTTAGATTTCCATACATGCCCAAGGTCACGGAAGCAGCACCAGACAGCAATGACCTCCTTTCCTGGAAAAATTCCTACCAGAAATACATAAAAACAACCTGCCTCYGAAGCAAAGGAGGCGATTGTAGGCAGCTCTGCACGGCCTCATAGCAGGGGAGCAGAAAAACCATTACCTCATACACCACCTGCCTGCTGCTCTAGCCAGGTATGTTTATGCAGACAAACTTCTACTCCTAGAGACAGATGGAGCATCCCCGAAACAGAAGCTTCATTCCCATCATCACCTACTAAAACCATAACAATTAATAATGACATTTGCTGAAAAGACTGATGTAGGCTGAAAGGACTGTCATCCAAGTAGGCTGAAAGGGCTGAAAATGCAGCTCTATATAGCACAGTGTATATATAGCTCTTGAGATACTGTAATGAATTTTTTTTTCTGTCAAAACCATAGCTGCTACAGAGCAAGCATCTGGTGCTCTTATCCTTGCTGGAAGTAGGTATCCTTTGTGCAGAAGGACCACCTCAAAAGTCAGGCTGTTKGATGATAAACAGCCAGGTTTATGGTACTTGGTCCTAACACTCCCTGCAGAGCTCATCTGTATCCGTTTGCTTCAGCTCCTGGGCTGCATTTTCCAAACCCAGAGATGTCACCTGCAGACCTGTGCACAGACCACTGTTACCCATGAGAGTAAGAAAACAACTCGTGTTTTTCCCTCCAAAAACCAATGAAAGTGTGAATCTAAAGCAATTCTGATACTTTCAGCCTGCTCTTGTGAGAAGACTTTCACCCCTTCTTACTTGACAAAGTCAGAAATKAAACAGAGAAAGCAGGAAGAAAAAAAATAGAAAATAAAAAAGGAAAAAAACTGAAAAAAGGGAATTGACAACACAAGAGTTGGCCAGGTGAAGGGGGTGGCTCTGTTGCTGRAGACGGCATCCCAGCTTCCTTCAGGTGGGAGGGCTCCAGCTTTACCCAAGCTTTACCCAGCCAYGTCTTGTAAGCAAGGATGGAGATTTCAGCGCTTCTCTGGGCTCCCATTCCAGTGCTTAATTATCCTTCTTTATATATGGATTGGCGATGGCCCTATGCATCCTACTGGCACTTTGAAGCTGCTCTTGTTTTGGGCAAGGGGCTGGACCAGGTTACCTCCAGATGTCCCTTCCTACTTGAACTGTTTTGCTTTCTATACGGGACATCCAGGAAGATCATGAATACTTTTTACTAATAATTTAATTTTACAAATTTCATTAAAGTGAATGTCAGCCACAGTATCTCAATATATCCCTTTGAAGGGATGGATACTTCTTCAGCCTTGTTGCATCCTCTTAAGAGCTGAACTGTTTCAGTTATAATGTTGTTCTAGACAGCTGTCTAATTGCCTTTTGTTGTGGTCTCTTACCACTAGATTTTATATTTAGGCTTTATAGAGATTCTTAAAAGGCAGGACACTGTCACTTGGTCATGCTCATTACAGGACATTAAGTCTCAACTTGCAAGCAAAAACGGGCGCTCTATATTTCTTTCCTASCATCAGCAATATTGTTGACTGAAAAATACAATATAGTGAACAGCAGGATTAGGAAAGTATCAGGCAATCAGTTTTGAAGTGAAAGGTATTCTCTACACAGGAGAAAACGAATAAATAAAAAAAGAGAGAAAAAAAATCAGCTCCTTGAGTCTCGCACATCTGTTTCAGGACAATTACTTGCTAGTGGCAGCAAACACAGTTACCCAGTCCCCTTGTATCCACGCTGGCAGCTCCCACAAGCCTGCGATTTCTAAGCTATTATTGTTATTATCATCATCATGTARTTTCAGTTTTCAGACAGATCCTTCCATGCGGCCCCTCCTCCTCCTGGCTCAGCCGAGATGCCTCCATGTCCATCTGGGCTCTGTTATTGACTTGACAACACGGAGCRGAGTCTCCTGCCTGCAGCTCTTCCCGCCGCTGCTGGCACTCCTGGCACGCGGCTGCGTCCCGCAGCGCCGCTGCCCATTCCAGGGAAGCGGAGCGACAGAGAAGCTCCCATCACAGGCGGGAACCACAAGGGACACACGGCTGCCTGCATTCCTTTGCACAGTAAATTTGGCAAGAAAAGTACCTTTTTGAGTGAGACTTTCAGATTAAACGTAGTCTAGACATAAAATACAACAAGAGCAGCCTTGAGCTACATGACCCAGAAGATTACCTAGAAGCCAGCGAAGACCATCAGCCTCTGTAGCCCAGATTAAACAGCTTCCTGGGCAATGAACTGGATAAAATGGAGATAACAGACTGTATGGAAACAGAAGGGCCAGAGAAAAGCTACAGACACAGTGCCTCCAAAAATCTGCCCTGCTACTGATCTTGCTTAATGCTGTATTAAAKGATGTCAGCAGAAAACAGCGGCAAAATCATCTCATCCTGCAAGGTTAGGAGGCATCACTAATGCAGAAAGTTACAGGGAAAAGCTGAAAAGCCTTGATGAAGGGATAGAAAAAGAATTAATAGCTCAAAATGCAAAATAACACACATGAGAATCCTCAAGGGTTGCTGCTGTTAAGCAGCCACTCATCAACCAAATATAGCAAGAGAGAAAATGGATGTATTAGTTATCCTGTTATCAACTATGACCTGCCAATAGCAGCTGATAAAAAGGTGGATACAATCTCAGAGAAAAAGAGCAGCAGATTTTGAGGCCGACAGGTATTATTGCCACTGTAAATATAGGTAAAACCTCATACAATGTTGTATGCATTCCGCATGCCATTTTTGAGAAAGATTAATTCAACACAAGACAGGTGCAGAAACACTATTATGAATAACAATTGATAAAGAGCGTATTACGTGAGATGAAACAAAGACCTTGGCTTATCCAAACTAGCAAAACCACCGGGCTCTAAAAATGGATTAGAGTGAAGAAGCTCATGATGAGCTTGGCTCCCTTTAAGCAAAAGCACAAAGCTGGCAGAAGAAACCTATCCTTCRAATGAGGCATGATGGAAACTAGAAGGTTTTAAACCATCAGAGAGAAAATTCTAGGTCAGATTTCCAAAAGCAGCCATCGAGGTGGGAGACAACTGCTTTGGACTGAATTTGATCAGCTTTTAAAGGGATCATATAGGCAGCTCCTCATGACTGAAACCTTGACGATGCAGTAAGTTCCATACTGTTCATAACAGGGAGGATTATGCAAAACACTGATGGATGCTACTGAACAAAACTAGTGCAGGCAACCTATACATCAAGTGGCAGGCCCAGGAGCCTGCAAAGCAAGAATGAACAATTTACACACTAGAAGAAATAGATACAGGCTGCCTCAAAGACCTCTAATCCGTACTGAAATGTATCGAGCGAATCCTCAGGCACCAAACAAGTAGGAACAATCTGACTTTCATTCCTGGGACCATTGCAGTAGAAGCAAAAAGAGGACACAAATGTTACTCAAATTATTTTGTGGGCAAACTGGAGTTTTGTCTGCATCAATGTCACATGAGAAGATGCTTCAGAAAAATTGGCTTGTATGAAAAACAGTGGAAGAATTTGATGGGYAGAAGCATCTACTGTCTGCCTACTATATTACCTGCTAAGCAGCTCCCCATGAGATATTTTCCAATCTGTATTCTCCCATAAGACCCAAGGTCAACAGGAGAAACGTCTGTCCACTATAGAAATAAATCTTATGGCACAGTTTCCTGTCAGTGTAAATAGCATCATAAAGCCAGCAAGAGAAGTAAAATATCTCCCATCTACCTCCTGTCTGAAATTCAGCTGTGATGTCTCACAGGGAAAATGTCTCAAGCACTATCACCTCACCTTACAATGCATTCTTCATTTCTTTAATCCCTTTAAATGCAAAATATATCTCTTCACTTTTATCTAGAGATGTGGGCTTTCAATTAGAATACTAATAAAACAAAAAGAATACAGAAAGGAAAAGAAGTCTCTGTGTTGAATCAATCCAGAGACAAAAGCCTATGGAAATGCAAAGGAGGTGGTAACGCTGTTAACACTTTCCAATGCTGGATTTGTGTGGAGTGGGAGCACCTGACTGCCTCACTTCAGTGCAACAGAAATATCACTTCAGAGATGATGCAAGAGCCCAGTGGTTTTGCAACATTTATTTTGACTGAAGCTTACAGCAGGAATCGAGAGGCTGGTACAAAGCAGCACGCCTGTGAAGCACTGATTTACACATAGTATATATCTAGTTGCTTCCTGGGAGCTCAGGCAACATGGATCTTTGCAAGCAGACAACAGAAAATGACAACATATAAATGAGACTGAAGGGAGTTTTGATAAGTCTTAAAGCCCCTAGATAAAGAAAATGATTTATCAAAACTAACTCCTGTATCTATTTATGTGCCTGCTCCCCACCTCCCACCCCAAGCCTATTCTTCTGGGCAAGAATAACTCATGAAAATATTCAGAGAAATTGTTTTAAAACCAGAAGAGATGCTTTCAAAGGAGAACAGATTCCAAACATTGATATTTTCCMGAAAATCTGCTTACACACCCTCATTTTGTTAGGGAAACACACAATACACAGGTCCTTGAAGCAGCTACAGAGCTAAGCCATCCAAATTTCACACTACACAATCTGCAGACGACGATATCTTTTTTCCCGGGCATCTGCAGCCTGGCACAGCTCGGCAGGCAGGCACAGCTCGGCAGGCAGGCACAGCTCGGCAGGCAGGCAGACCTGCTGCTGCAGCGGCCCCTGCGTTACTGAAGAACAAGGACCTCGCAGGGCGCGGCTGGAGGGCCCGGCGGGCGGCAGCTGCGCCGCTGTGGCCGTGCCTGAGCGTGCGGCGCCCCGGCTGGCCCGCCCGGCCCGCCCGGCACCCCGGCTGGCCCGCGGCGCCCCGGCTGGCCCGCCCGGCACCCCGGCTGGCCCGCCCGGCTGCGCCAGCGCTGCGGCACACGGGCCCGGCTCGGCTGCCTGTTCCTGGCAGCCCGGCTGGCTCACGGCTGCCCGTTTCAGCGCGCACAGAGCGAGTTAATTAAGCCCGTTCAGCTCTGCCACAGAGGGTTAATTAAAATGAGCTATTTGCATACGGGAACGCAGCAGTAACCATGACTAAAAGCTGATTTCTGTGGGCACTGAGGAGGTGACGCGGCTGCTCCCTGCAAATACCATAATTGTTGGGATTAGGGAAGCACTCCTGAGAGGTCACAGGTCCGTTATTTATCCCCAGGCAGCCGGGCTGTGTTTTCCCCCCAGCTCTCCCTGCGAGGAAGATGCTCTACATGAATCCAAACGCGCCCCTGTCAGATGCGGTCTCTCCCTGSGTGCCAACCTCATCCCTCGCTGCCCGGCAGCGTTGAGACCCGACATCCTTGCTGGGGACTGGGCTGGTGCCGTACATAGGCACATACACTGTGTCTTTACTTAAATGGGCTTGCCACAAGAAGGTCCAGCAGTCAGGCATTATCACAGAGAGAATGAGGGGTTCCAGAGAGCTCCATTCCCAGGAGGAAAATGGAAATTCAGCCTTCATCCTTCAAAGGCAGTCTCACACACGTGTATGTACACATACATACACAAAGCCTGACCAGAAATGTACTGCAAGATAGTAACTGATGCTTTTCACCAATATCACTGTTTTTCCACACACACACAAACAACAACATTCATACTAGTTCTACCACTAAGAAATATTTGTTCATTTATATCAGTGTATGCAATGCACAGCTWAAAGGGTACAGTCCTACCCTCAATGGCAGAAATAACGAACAGGATTCACCTCCCTGCAGTTAGCATATTCTTAGTTACATTGGTACCCAAAGCCTACTTATTCTATATGCACTTGTACGAGTACATTAACAGAATATCTGCAGAGCTTGTRTCACAACACTTGCTACAGCCACACAGATTCAACTTTTGGAACACTCACTTGTATTCATCATAAACCTCCTGTTTGGGAAGGGATGTCTCAGGGTGTTCTTCCAAGGTATTCCGTATCCAAGAAAATGCATGCATTTGCTGCGCACGGCTGGATGACATGGAGATCTGATCACTAGTGAAAGAACAAAGAGTTTTGATATGAGACTTTATTCTATAGCTCCTCCTTGGTTATAAAACTTAACAATGGACCACCTATATGGATGGAGGGACACTAGAGACACAGTCAGTGCCTCAGAAATTCAGCTCTTCCTCTATGTATGGGTGTGTTATCTTCCTTGTTCACCTACAATTTAGCAAACTGACCCCATATTCTCTCTCTTTAACAGGCAAGAGTCCAGCTATTTCTGCTCTTACAATCACTGTCTCTTACTGCCCACCTGAGCTTCACCCTGCTCAGTCTTTAGAAGCATCTGACCCCACAGCAGCGCTCGCTGTACTTTCAGCAGGCACTTCTCTGCTTGTCATTACTCTGTGCTAACTTCGGTATGTTGTGAGCTCCAGGTTGTTTTTCTAGATTCTTTAACCAAACAAATGTTACCAAAAATACTCTGAATTCCTGCTTTCCTCTACCGTCACAGTTGTATTGCTGCATTAGCACTTCCTACAGAAGAGAAGGAACAATCACGCTCAGGCTGCAAAACACTTTCTTTGATGAGCCCTACATGGTCGATTTCTGTTTACAAACTACCCATGTGCCACAAGAAAACCCTCTTTAAAAAGTCCTAAATATTTATTAAAGACTTTCTATCAAACACGGCACATAAATGCATACTGAACATTTAAGAGCTACGTTATAAAGCTTTCAGAATTAGCTGCCTCCCTTTACACATGCACACAAAACCACCCACGTACCTTTTGTCTCCATTGTTGGGACCCGAAGGCAGCTGAAGGTAGAGGTAGAGTTTCTCTAGGTCTGTAAACTTCTCAACTTCTTGCTAGATAACAAAAACATTTTGTTAAAAACACAGGAAAAGGTTGGGTGCAACAAAACAGAGATGAGCTGGAGAGCTAGAACATGTCATACAAACAATATATTCCAGATAATATTTATCGATGTGAAAGAATTAAAATGTTTTCCTTTTGGAAATGAAAGTGATTAAACAGATAATGAAACAAGGCATTTAGTTAACAGAAACCTATCTGATATTAAATTCCCATGCTATGATAGCAGATTCCCACGCTATTCCATCCCCAGTCTTCCAAAGCACCTCCACTGCAGGTGAGACATGGTGAGAGTTTTACCTACTGTAGGCGAATAGCAACTACCACAATGAAATAACAGTTAAATGACCTGAAACACGGAGAGAACCAATTGTGGTAATTTACTTGTTGTCCACCAGTTGGTCTCCATGCAGCAAGGAGCAAAGGGATACCCCTGTGAGAAGATGCTGCAGAGCCAAGGCAGGCTCATCTAAGGCGGGAAGGAAGACGGCAGGAATAATGGCCAGGAAGACAGGAACATATTCTTCAGCAGTAATGGAATTAAGAAACTAAAACCCTGAACTTTGTTTCGAGCCAGGGTCACCAGGYGGCAGAGCCCTCCAAGCTCCGCCAGGCCAAGGCCCCTCGCGCGCTGGAGCCGAGGGGAGGACGGGTTCCCACCTCTCTCCACGTGTGGCTGCCCTCAACACGGGGGTCCCCTTCCCAATGGCAGCACCAGGAAAACGTGGCCTGGGGACAGAGCGTGGGGAAGGCAGGAGCTTCCCAACTCCAGCTGATGAACACGGCAGTAAAACTGCTTCACACGTGTGGGCCACCAGACACATTCCCAGAGCCAACAGAAACGTTTCCACCAGCAGCCAGGTAACACACTAGACTTGCTGTTTTTATAAGCTGCAGCAAACCACAACATTTGTTTTTTTTTTCTCTGACACACTCCTGAATTTGCTGACACCAATTTGTGTGCGGCTTTTGCAGCAGCTTACGCAGCAACGGGGCTTCAACCACCAAATATCCAAGGAGCAATTCCTCCATGGGGGCATTTTGCAAAACTCTCTGCGCAAATCACAGTCTGGGGCCTGCCCTTTAACAAGTCTGCAACTGGAAACAGCGATAAACTCAAGGAAATAACGTAAAGGAAATATAACAACAGCAAGAAGATTTGCATTTATTATATCTCCTTTGCTTCAGGAAATTTCTAAATGGCAAATGCCAGGAAAGCCCACCCTAGGACATGGTTCAGGTAGGATAACCTCACAGCATAAGCATTAATCCTGGAGTGACAAAGCCCTGGAAGAGGCCTCTCAAAGATCTAATGTTTGGCCTGCAACATAAAGGGTGAGGATGTTCGGTGCACGCTGCGGGGCCGGGGAACACGGAGCCCGCTGGCGCTGCAGCCCCGGCAGAAGGCAGGGGCTGGGGCCAAGCCTGGGGCCGGGGGGGCCTGCGCTATGTAGGGCAGCCCGGGGAAGCCCCTCGCTTGAAAAACAACATATGTCAAGAGAAGAAACGTGACTGGGATTATGACAGGGAAACCGTTTCCGACAGTGGAAGCTACCCAGCAACTCCCTTGTCAGCAAAACTGCCTCCCCAGAGTTCAGACAGCGAAGGATTATGAATTTTTCACATCTTCGGCACAGAAAGCTGGGCAGTAATTTTGCCCCACTGTTTTTATTGCAAACCAGCTCTTTTCTAGCCCTTGCCACCAGCAGCACAGTCTGGACAACTCCTTCAGCCTCCAGAGGGGAGCCCAGGGCAGGATCCTCCAGGAGARAGGAACGTTAACGGGCCACAGGGATCCAGGAAGGTTAATCCTACCTGGGTGATAACTAGATAAACCTAAGCTTATTAGATGAGCCTGAATCTATTTAGACTTATCCTTCTTAAAAATGAAGGAGCTGCACCAAAGGGGTGGAAGCTGGTGATCAGCACAGCAGATGCAGGAAGCAAAACTATTTTGCTCTGTTTAGGCTATTTTATCCAAATATTTCTAAAACTCTCTAAGGTCACACTCTTGATAAGCATAATTTCTTTTTAACCTCAGCTGACACCTACCAGTTCTCAATGCCAAGTCTCCAGSAAGCTCAGTAACAGTTATACTACTGACACTGCTCGAAGTATCAAAACTTCCAGTTTCTTAATGCAATCTTAACAACATTGATACAGCAGAGAATCACTTCATCAGGCCAACTGACTAGGAATCTCCAACCAAGGGGAAAAGCAAAGGTAAATAACAGTAATAATAGGTAATAAAAATTTAAAAAACATCTTTAACCCTGTGTTTTCCTCTGTGGCAATCTGGATGCACATATAARTGAGCAAAAAGAAAGAATACAAAATATCAAATTCCTTTTTTCTCCTAAGAAAACAGTCAATGTGAGGCTAGCATCTTCTTSGAAAAGATACTGCCCTTTGTGTAACCCTTTAAAGTCTAGGTGACAATAGCTTTTAAAATCCTCAGGGAATGTAAAACAGCTGGGGAATCCTTTCCCACCACTTAAAAGAATCTCAGCAAAAACTGTGCTCCAAGTTTCCTGACCTTAATGGACTGATTCTCTCTGTCCAATTAGAGGATGGGTGTCCAATTCTCCAAAGGTTATTTTTAAACTATGCTTCTTGAGGCTGCATTAGAAAGCTACACGAGAGTGCTAAATTGGCTGCAGGACCAACGTGCAAAGCCCCCACAAAGCACCACCTTGGCTATTTTAGGTCTCCATGTGTTATATTCATCTCCTACAATCTCTAACTGGAATCCCATCAAATGAAGGGAGATTCAGTGAAGATGTGGAGCAGGCAGTATTCATATTTCAGTTAAAACTGAAGGGAAAAAAAAACATGTCCAATACTCTAAATAAATTAGCTACCTTATGCTTTGACACAGAAAAACTTAGGACAAAGAATCAGAAACCCAAACTCAGAGATCAGTGAAGACTTTCAAGCAGCATATTGAGAAGCAGATGGCTTGACTTTGTTGTTTGTTTCATTAGTCATCATTCCACAAAAGAAYTGCACAAAATATAGTTTTGTGCAAACAAATTAAACCAGAGATGCACTTATCTTTGCAAGATAGCAGCCATACAGATCTGGTCCAAATGAATCTGTCCTTTTGCTGCCTAAGAAAGTTACAGGACGGGGTTCCCATAAGAACAAAAGCAACTTTTTCATTCTAGTTGGCATTGTGTTTGAGCAAACAAACAGTTGGCAAGAACAGGATGGCCAAAATAGTTTTTGTTTTGTTTTAATGAAAATAGTGATTTTTGACATATGGTTCCATTCTGGGTGACAATAACTGGACATTGAAACTTTTAGGCTGCTAAAGCACCACCCGCGCTGCAGGAAGCACGAGCTCTGTCATGTCCCGACCCCGACCTGCCGAACCTGGATCTGAACCCGAATCCCCGCTGCCTCAGAGCGCTGCTGAGCTGCTGGCAGCTCTCAGCTGCTGGGGAAACTTCACCCTGAAGTTGTCAAAATTAATCACCACGGCAATCTCCAGGGAGGGTGCTTTTTTTGGGTTGTTTTAAAGAAGAAAAAAATCACTCAGGCCTCCTGTAAAGCAAGATGAAGGATGCTACTACTGATACAAGGAAATGATGAGCAGTTAGAGCTTCTTTAATTAACATAGCAATAAACAGCATTAAATTTGAATGATTTTACATTTCCATAATGAAGGTAGAACTACAAGTTATTTCTGTCCTAGAGTTTTGTTGAAGAGCAGTCAATGGCCAGAGGCATTGCTGCAAGCTTTCTGCAATACTATTTTGGAGAAAACAGGCTGATCTTCATATTCAGATCTACATTTGAGTATTTATATATAACTATCCTCCCCCTAAACTCTCAGGCCTGGAAAGTAAACAAGGCTATGGCAATGGCAATGTAGCTTGCACCAAGTGGCAGGCTGGTCCTAAACCTTATCATATTTCAATAGAACAAATATCTATTATTGAACAATCAGCAGGCAAGCAGATAATCCCCCCACTGTGGTAAGGGAAGCAAGATGGAGAGGTTAAACAATTTGCTCAAGGTCAGACGGTTGTTGGGAATATAGTCAAGAAGGAAAATAATTTTAAGACCTCTGATACTTCAAACAGAAGGTATTATTTTTAAAAGAGAAATAAATGCTAATAAACACATCCAATACRCTGTATTGAAGCAACAGAGACATATTTCAGGTGCTGAAAATTCCAAACAATCCTTAAAAATACATGGCAGTGTTGTACTGACAGAGCATCCAAGTTGAGCCATGGTATCTGAGTRGAACTCCTTGCTCTCTGCAGAGCCAAGAAGTGGGGACCAGGTGGCCACCTCGTCTGCAGCAGGACGCTGGGGCACTTGGCTTCAGCAGCAGCAGACCCTGTGCTCGTGCTGCCCACGCTGCAACTGTGCCAGACATCAGTGGCTTCGGTTATTACTGCCATCAATCCAGCAATCTCTCACCAGCACTGACCTCTTTTTAGCAGATTAAGGAAAGAAGCCTTAACCTTCTTGCTAAGTGATTATATGGATCATACCATTTTTTAAATCAGGTTCAAGAGTTCAATTAGTACGTGGCAGCAAATATAACAAGCAAAGTCTTGAGAGGATCTACTTCTAGACATGTTTACTACAGTTAAAAAGATGTTATAATGAATTTTTAATGGCTGTTTACACCACAATTCTTGCTAATTATCTTTTCTGGATTGCATAGCACATAATGATTTGCTTATGATCTTCCAGAACCTGACAGTATGTCAGAATGCAAACAGCGAAGCACAAAAGTTAAGCCAAGTAACTTTGGTCTCCTGTACAAATCAAAAATTACTGTTTGAGTACTCTCATTACTAGCTGTTTTCTGTAGCTCTCTGCTCCTAGTGGCTTCCACAGCAGAGACCATTGCCTTCAGCTTTGTCCCCTCCTTTTTCTTTCTTGGTACCATGTTGTAAACTAGACAGCCTCTGTGCTAAAAAGCCCATGAGCCTGCAGAATCTAACACTAGAATAGTCCTACTTTACTCTCTCATTATTTCCAAGAACATTAGCCAGCTACTTATGTACTCCTCCTCTGATATTGCAAAAGAATTCCTCCCCCACTTCCCATTTTGTATTGCAGAAAGAGACGGCATTAAGTAGTTTTGCAAGAATAATTTGCCCTTTTGTCAATGAAGACTAGCACAGGTCAAATTTAAGATATTATATTCACCTACTTCGTGTCCACAGATGCCACTGAAAAATAGAAAGGGGAACAAAAAAGGACATTTTGCATCACTCGTTTAGCCTAATGCAGCCTAAAACACCTCTTAAGCACAGGTAAAACTGGGCCCCAAAGTTTGTCTGCAACCCAAGAACACGGTTAGCTTTAAACTTCTGGACACAGTAAATTGTAAAACAACACAGCAAGGAAAGAACTTAGTGCCATGGGAGTTAGTCTCTGACAACTTGACTTTAAGGTATTCCTCCTCTGCTCAGCTGGATAGATTCTATTTGAGAGTACCCAGATGGTTGACTGTGTTGTCATTTTATTTTACCTGCTTTTGGATGAAACGCCAAAAAACAGRAAGTCAGAGTAAACAGTTCCTTCTAGTCGTAAGACTTATGAACTCAGACTCTTGACTCAAAGACGCTTAGAGCTTGCTCACTACTATTAAAGAAACAGGCAAAACCACTTTCTTAGTCCCAGGAGTACATTTCCCAGAAATAATCTCTTCTGACAGTCTAGATCTTGTTAATTCAAATGCAAGGAGATGCTTGCACATTTAAAAGGCTTTGCTTCTTCAAAAATGCCACATCTGTGCCCCAAGAAACACAACTAATCAGCACCTGCRCCTAAAATGAGGCCTGCTCATTTCTGGGAAGACACCTGACATGGTGCACAACGTCTGAGGTTGACRGAATTTAAAGAAACCAACCCAAAATCTGATAATAGTGGCACCTGCAAGTGTGCCAGGACCAAGTATTTACATGAACCAGGACATGAGCAGGCCAGGCTTTGTACAAACATATATTCCATACAGTCCCTTCCCCACATGGCAATACTGGCTGTTAATCAACTGCTTTAAGGAAACTGCGGCAAGTAGTCAAGGGCAATAATCACTGTTACAAGAAAACAGAGAGGCAAAAGAGCCAGGGACCTGAGGGCACAATTTGCATCTCGCAGGCTCTGGTCTGTGCAACACATAACCCTGCACTGAGCACAACCACACTCACAAAGGCAGCAGGGCACATCTCCGTGCCTTATCCACATGCACAGCTCTGCATGTGGAAACCATGGCCAGCACAGTAATCGTGCTGCTAGGTTTGGGAAGAGGAAAACTCTCCTGAAAATGAACACTAGACCCATATGATGTTTCTTTTGGCAATGGGAACGACTTTTGACCACATTTGGGAGTAGTGCATTGAAGTACTGTCATGAAAAGGCCTCCTAAGAGCAGTCAAATGTCAGCCTCCAGRGTCACCTACTCTGGCCTTACAATTTTATCAAATATTAAAAAGCATTCTGGAGTTGTACTTACCAAAATGCAGTCCACTTTAGATTGTACAGTTTTGCTAGATGAGAGGGAAGAAAGAGAATAGAAAACTTTAATTAATCTCATCAGTAATGACAAAAATATTACATTTTAGAATAGCGGTAACCATAGTAGATGTTTCATCTCTTTCTGTGAAATACTCTGCTATAGAATAATATGCATCTTGCTACTTCTTTGTATATAGTCACTCCAAACGCACCTGTTTCGCAGAAGAGTTGCTGTTTTGCTCTTTTTATAGAAAAACTGTTTGTATGAGAAACTGCACATATGTTTTAATTAAGTGTCATTGCAATTGGAAGCCATTAACCCAATTTGCCAAGCTGTCAGGCTGGATGGATTTCCCAGCACTGGGCTCAGAACACTGTATGTTCTTCYATAGCTCAAATGCATTTTACTTTTTCTTCTCTGTACACAAAAGAAAAAACAACAAAAAAATCTGCTTCAAAAAATCCCACCACCCCAAGGCATTTATTTCTAGCTTTCCAGAGAGCTACTACAAAGCAGGAACAGTTGGTATTCCACTGACAACTTGGTTTTCCACTTTCATCTCACTACCTCCCAGCTGGTTTATTAAAAAGAGACTGGGTGGGGTCTGAATTTAAAGTATGTCATAAATGACCTCAGTAAAAGYGCCAAGGAGTGCAAATGGTATGGAACTTATTATACTCCACATAAACACACCCGTAAGCAGCTTCTGTGTTTCTTAAGACTACCATATTTCACATGCTTGGACTGACTCCGCATCATCTGAAGGTATTTACCATTGCTGTGAAGARAAACAGGAGCTTTAATGTGCAAAAAGCGATAGCCTTTAATGCTGGACACAATCTAAAACAACCAGTTTCTGAGTTTAGGGAGGAATCATTTCCTACTGGTATAAAACACAATTCAGACTACTAACACAGAACAAAGATCATCACTATCAAATATTTAACTGTTATGTGGGCATCACTATGTCGCAAAGATGGATCAAGGAAGGTATCCGATGGAAGTGCTCATCACGAGCAAGAATCTAATGTCTCTAGCATGAGGAGGGRAGGGAAAGGAGAAGCAAGGAACTAGACACCCCAAAACAGCATCTGCTGTTGTCGGAGGTGCTCAGAGGCAGGATCCAGGCTGTGCAGCCGGCCACAGCACCTCGTTTTGAGACCAGGTCCAAAATCCTTTCTAGCAGCACTGCTCTTCCTCATGTGGAATTCCCATACCAAAGCTCCATATAACTATAACGACCAAATTTAACAGAAACTTCAAAGGGTAAGAGCAGACATCTACTGAAGCAGATATATTAGCATTTGATTTTGCACTGGGAGAAGACAGTCAGTCACGTAGACGCTCAAGGATGACAAGGAAGGGATGAAGCTGAGCACTGGGATTTAAGAAGACAGTGATAAAGACAGTAAAATGGAAGCTTCTCTTTGCCCAAGGGAATGGGTTTAGGTTTAATGCAGTGTTCGAAAAAGGAAAACAGCACCCAAATGTCAACTTACTCTCAATAGACCACTGTCTTACTAGACACATATGCACACACACATTAAATATATATATATATATATATATATATAAAATAAAGAAATCAAATGGCACCCAGCATGGAACTCTGTGGCTGCTGTTCAGGGCAATCACTGCTTCAGACTCCAAAGTGACCACAACACATTGACAAAGTCAACCCAAACCCCTGGCTGTTCCTTCCCCAGGAAGGTCCCCTGCTCCCTGCCTCGGGTCCCACCAGGTCTCACTACCTGGGGCTGCTACAGCCTCTCTTCATGCACTTCTGAAGTGCTCTTCATGACTGCAGGCAACAGCTCCTGCCCATTCCGGTACCTACACCTCGCTGTAGGCTCCACGTGCTACATTTATGCAGGAAGGCACGCAGAGGGTAAGGGGATGCAGGGGGATGCACAGACAGACCCAGCCTGACCTCAGCCTCCCTCCCCAGGCTTGCAAACACCATCACAGGGTAAACTCTTCAGGGGAGCAGGGCTCAGTTGGCATGACTGGCAGCCCTGCTAGGCTCTGTCCGGCTGCCCATAAGCGTGTCTGCTTCCATTTATGTGGTCTTGCAAAAAGAAAGAGGCGAGTCTTTCTTTTTAAGAGTCAATAGGGCAGCAGACCCCTAGAGCTCTCCTTTTATCTCAGAAAATCCRTCTGAGACTCTAAATGGAAGCCCTCAAACGTTGTTCAGGATCTTCGTTTGACCTCAGTTCCCACAGTACTGACCAATGACACCCAGAAGGACAAGCAGAAGAGCAAAAATAGGACCATAAATACAATTTCATATGTATATATACATATATATGCACACATACATATTTGTATGCACATTAACACATCCTGATCCATGGGCAGGAGCAATGTTTCCTTTTTGCCAAACAGTGGCACAAAAAGAATAGTGAAGTTCACCTTTTCCAATGTGCAAACAGATTTCTCAACAATTTAAAAGGTAGAGGTCCTCTGTGTTAAGCAGGCACAATGTCTATTTTAACATCAATTTTCTTCATTTCCTCTTCTCTGTTCCCTAGCTTATTAGGGGAGATACTGTTAACATTTCTTACCAGCAAACTGAGGTCACTTCCACGCTAACCAAAGCACAGGCAAGCACTCCGGGTTCTGCAAAGCCTCTGCTMACTCACTGTAGCCCTATTCACTGCCATGGGAGTCATTCCATGACAAAGTCAGGAAATAGTAACTCTGGAGAACCAGCCTTTGCACCAGGAACTTGCTGGGACGCTGACAATTCTGTGGTCTTGAACTTCTCCCAGAGAAGTTCCACCTGGTGGACAGACCATCCCCATTCCACCCAGAAAATACAAGGGTGCGTGACAGATGGAGAAGGAGCAACCATCCTCTTGGCAACGTATCTCCCTCTTTTGTTTACTTCATCCTACTTTTTCCTTTGCAGGCTTACAGGATAGATGAATCCTGATTAATGCTGAAAGTTAGTTCACAACTAACTSTGCTTCTGCCTCCGTGAAATGCATACGCCACCTTACACTTCAGCTACAGTAGCTGCCCCAGTTATGTAGTTTTACAGGCACCAAGATTCAACTTGGTCAACTGTCTTGGAAAACCTCCAGCAACTGTTAGTTCCATAGACCTCCTATGTCCAGCAACCACAAAAGCACAGCTGAATCAAGCCCTATATGATATTTTGGCTAATATTTGAAGGCTGTTACCCACACACTTTGCTACATGTCTAGCAACAGCTGCAGGAGAGCACCAGAAGTAGTAAATGTTCTCTCTAATGAAAACAACCGTTTGAATCTATTAGTGACCTGAGCCCATTTGAAGCCTAAAAATAGAAATTATAGTATGAGCCAACAGCTAACATTGCTTCTCCCAGACAGCTGCTTCCAGCAGCACCTGGGGATTGCTGTGACTTACATGGCACTAACCAGCCCCAACAGAAAAGCACAGCTATCACTACTCATTCTTCTGCACCTCTTCACGCCGAAAGTCTCCCTAAAGTTAAACTAAACTAATTCACTTACTAGACCTAAAACTTAATTCAGGCATAGATGAGCAATTTGTCTAGGACAAGAAGGAATCCTTCTGAATCCAGGGTAGGGCGTTTCCTACAAGCGATAATAAACTTTTTGCAGTTGTTCTTGAATTAGGAATCTGCAAGAGGTTTCAATTCACTGTAAGAACCTGAGAGTATAAAACGGTAAATAAAAAAAATCTACAACAAAAGAACTAGCGACTATCACAATTAAGGATGAAACTTTTAAGTGGATGCTATTAGGCAGACTGTTGGAAACTTAAGATACACTAAACTACTCAAGACAGATGTAGTTCCATTCTATTGTCAAGAGAAATCCTACTCAAAAATATCAACTGTCCAAAGCAAAACTACAGCCTAACTCAAATGCACCTCTGAACAAGCATCATCCACCATCAGTCATAATTCTCAAAAACAGTGCCCAGCTTCTCTCAACACAGCAAAGGGCATTTTTTAGCCCTCGTTTTAGAAGTGCCCAAGAGAGYTGCTTCCTGCAAAACCCCTCTGAGATGCGAGGAGCCTTCCAGCCCTCTCTCTTCCCAAGGAAAACATGGTGGCAGCTGTTGTTCAACAGCTGACTATAAACAGCTTGAGCATGTTCAGTTTTTGASCTAACCATTATGCCTGAGACCTCAGAATTTTGAGCATAAATTTTGAATGCTGCAATAACTTCAGCTCCTAAGTGCTGCAACCATGTTGACAAACTCCTCAAGATACCTTGGGGAAAGGAAAGAAAAAAAAAGAAAAAAAGAAGGAAAATCAGACTAATAGATTTCCTCCAATTGCTCTTCTATCTTATGCCAAAGTATGTGTATCTGCTTTCCCTGACCTATTTATGTATTTCTACTCAAATAGCTCCATTTAATGTCCCTGACTTGGCATGAGCAGACTGAAGAGTGTGTTCTCAGGTGCCTGGCTGGGTTTATTTTGCATTGAGGGAGAGATGGAAAGTCGGAGAGAGGGCACGGAGACTTAATTTTTTTCCAAATTGGCATAAAAGCAGATGCTGCCAACCTTTCCCAAATTAACCAGCACCTTACTTTCAGGAATAGGTAGTTTAACTGCTCTAAGCAATACRGGAATATCATATTACAAGAGGTGGCAGAATCCAGTCGCTCAAAGAATATTTAGTATTTCCTTAATGCTGTAAATAGCTGGAGGCATATAACCACAAGGGGTTTGAGATGCCTTATGTCTGAGACCAGAAAGAGAAAAGTAGTTAGGAGGGRAAAAAGAAAGTGCTCAAATTTACCAGCTACTCCCCAGTTCACTCCATATGTCTTCTCAGAGCTAGTGCAATCCCTGGAACTAACCCTTATCAGCTTCTTGACTGTAATCAGTCCTCATTTAAGCTTAAAGCCAGCAGGCCGGCAAATCCTGCAGAGGGATGCACACCATGCGGACACTGGCCAGCAGGAACATCCCTGCTTCCCAGGCAGCCCCACGTCCGGGAGGCTGGCACAGAGCTCCCCCAGCAACAACCCCTGCCCCAAGAGTCACCCAGGGAGAGGTTCTGACCC